ATGTTGCGTCCTCCCTTGTGTGTATTTTTAGACGCCCGTAGCAAGTTAAATTAATTACACAACTTTACGCAAATTAAATGTCAAGCCGCAGTTTTATTATCTTTCACTTGCAGGCTGTCCACTGCTCCTACCACGAAAAACTACTAAATATTAGAGACCCCAGTGGAACGTCAGCCTTCGAGTCCGGCACATTTTGCACGTCAAAATAGGCTCCGGACAAAGTCACAGCCTCTGCTATGGCGGCACGATGGGCAACGGATATTTTCGAACGTCACAAACGTCGTCGTCGTCACGCCAGCGGGAAAAGCGGTAAGTGCCACCGAGCTTTGCCATAACTACACTTGAAAAATTCACAAAAGTAGTCTACAAAGAACCACAAAAACCAGAATAACCTTCTATACAAAACTTAAAGTTCTTTTATATTTCTTCACAAACAAATCGCTCTCACATTCTAACATTCATGTTTTTCTTTCATAAAATTTGATGGGAAAAGAAAACGTTTTAAGCCCTTTTTCAAACTTAGTTCTTGACTTTTGTTGCTTCCCTATAAGATTTATGTGCTTGTTGACTTTAAATTCAATAAAACTTTTCGATTAATTCTGACACTTGTCCGCTTGTCGTCAAGACAAATGGAGGTACAAAACCCTAATTTGTTTTCGGAGTGTAACGAGGATGCTGTTCTGGGTCAAGTAGCCCGGGGGAGGGAGAGCTAATAAAATTTCCTTGCCGACGTATGTGAATGCGATGGTAAGGGAAGGGTTTCCTGGTAAGCCATAAAAGTTGCTGGCGTGTGAGTAACCACGACCTCGTTTCCTGCCTCCCCGCATCTGGTTTTCTAATCAGGCTCGGCTGGACATCGATATTTATGTCCTGCGGTCGAGGGGCAACACATTTTGTGGGTGTGACAAATGGTGGCCTTAGACAAAGGGGTTTAAAAGTCAGTCATTTTAACTTGCCTGACTTGGCAATCTTTTCATAAAGTTTACTTGTTAATGAAGTGAAGACTTGCCAAGAAAACCTCATATCATAAATAGATGGATAAAGTTTCCATGGCTTTAAATATTTTTTTAGTGTTGACTAGACTCACAATGAAGTTTTCCCATATTTTAAGCAATAAATCCAAACCCTGGAAAACCATAGCAGAACTAAATATTCGATGTTTTAAACAAAAGCGAAAAGCGGAAAACGAAGTCAAATAAATTATTCCTTGCTTTTGTTGAAGCTGAAGGAAAATAAATCCGTCAAAAGTTTTATGCGCTAACCCAAACGCGAAAAGGTCAGGAAAATCTGAGGAAACTTTTTGACTGACAAAAGGTGGAAGAAGAAAATAAATTCGACGAGTTTTTAGCAAACATAATTAGTGACCTTTTCTTTGACGATGACTTTTAAATCGATTCGATATCCAACTTAATTGCCGGTGCAGACAAAAACAAATGGCACTGAATGTCCGAGGGAAATAGAACACTTTGCCAATTAATTAAATGCCAGCAAGCCAAATTGAGGCCGCAATCGAGGACATGGCGAAAAGAGCGGCAATTAAAATTGCCAGCGGCGCCTACATGAGATGGATAAATACTGGAATAGATGGACTGGGCGTGGTCCTGCATGCATTCATTCAGTGTTCTTCCCTTTGGGGGGCGGTGGATGTTAGCGTATGTCCTGGGGGGCGTGGCTGTGGCTCCCTGCTGACAGCTGTTGGCGCTGCTCAAAATTCCAATCTGCCGCCATCGGAACGAGGAGTGCATAAGCCGGAAACCTGACGAGGGTTCCCCGAAAGCAATTAAAATGGATTTTTATATTTCTCCTCCCAAATGTGTGGGTGGATAAATTTTGTTTCATTTTATAAATACAAGCACTCTCTGCCAAGTATTTTTCATTAGTTTCCCACAGCTGGAATATGAACTGCTTATACAAACTGGGATCTCGTAGGAAATTAAAACTTTTTAATAATAGAATTGTGCACAAACTTTCATAGTGAACCATTCAGTCATTTAGAAAGTGTAGAGTTTATTTAGGTTTAGATTTCCCATTCAACACAAATTTCAAACTTTTTGTTTTGTCACGTTTAGCAAACTATTTAAAGTTGTTCTTTACGGTCTAAGACTAATAACATTTTTATACATTTTGTGGTGGTTTCAGTCTCATTAAAATTAGTTAAGTTTCAAAATCCGAAAATCCATTTTAAAGTTTCCATTGGTTTAAAGATCATCCCACAGCTAAAACTGTGTCAATTTTTGGCAGCTGTCGGAAAACGCTCACCCGTATTTTCAGAGCACGATTTATCCCCCTCGGCTCGGCCAAAAAATTGAATTGTTCCTGGTCGAAGCCGAATGTCTTGTTTTGTTCTCCTACATTTTCCGCCAAAAATTCGGCGGTATTGTTTCGCCCACATGAAAAACGCACACGAACTTTCAGACTGGCAGACAGGACGACAGGCGTCGATTCATTTGCATATAGAATGGCGTGTTCCGAGAGGCGATAATGTATCGACGGGCTTTTCGCAACTCTCAAATGGAAGATGGATGGGTAGGTGGGCGGGAGTGTGTACATAAAGATGTTAAGGATACAGCAGCGATTCGATGACAATTTTTTTGGCCACTGGCCCGGTATAAACAAATCGATTTATGCATACAGTACAGATGGGCACGGAACATGTCAATGGGGGCGTGTTTTAAGATTAACCGTCGGCAGCCTCCAAAGCGTTTCCAACATTTAGTCACGTTTCATTGGAGCTCTACATTTTTATGGAAATTGCTATATAAGAATGGTATTGTGTTGGGGCACTGACAACAAAAAATTCAATAAACACGAGGATTTTATAAAGTAGAGACTCAAAAGCAAAATTATTTCAACCGTATTTAATACAAATGTTACAGCATCTGGTACTGTCTAGTATTTAAAAAACCTATTGAAACTGAGTAATTCATTTTCACGTAAATAAAATAGGTTATTATCTATTAGATATTATTATAATGCAGATATTTTTGTTAAATCACAGATGTCTCTGTTTAAAAAGTTTTTTAAGTAATGAATGTTCAACCCTTAGACCTTAAAATGTTTTCTTCAGTGTATATGGGTGACGGATTCGAGTTGGTGTATTGTGCAAATGTGCATATATTGTGTGTATGTTTGTGTGTATTCAGCATTACGTGTAAGGCATACTTCTCGTGTATTTTTCTTTGTTTGGCCTGATAAGTCCTATTTTACGCTGTCAACTCACCTGTAAATAGAAGAGCAAAAAAAGGAGAAGAGATCGTTAGAAATGCTGTTAAGGTTCAATAAATTTCTAAGCAAAAAGTGAACAAATTGGATTGCCTATCCAAATCCCATTGCATACTTCCGGGACATAAACTTTTTTATGTACGTTCGATGTTCATTAAAAAAGTTTGAAGCACATTTTGGCATGCAAAACCCCAGACCAGAAAAATTACAAAACAACAACAAACAGGACGATTGGTAGTTAAACTTTCAGAAAATTTAATTTGAAGGCACAAGAATAGAAGGGACGAACAGGGGAAACTGTCAGTTGCAAGAACGAGACAGGAAAAGGATAGCAGAATAGCCTCAAACAATTTACCAATTAGAATGTGGAAAAGTTTGTGTGTCTGCCGTCAATATAAAGTACAAAATAATTGCATCTCGTTTTCTACTCCCGCAACGCCTGCGGCTTATGACGTCGACGGAGTGACTGTATAATAAATATTTCACACTAAATTGCACAAGGAGAATAAAAAGTGGCAATGAGTAACGAGCCAAAGACGCTTAAATGAAGTGAAACGAGCCCGAAGAAAGAATGAGTGAGGGCCCACAAATTGCCGCTGAATGTGTGCAAATGATGGCAGCAGAAAAGCGGTGGAAATAAAGCAAGAGTTGAGACAATTTCCGCAAACGAGCAGAGACAGAAAGCAGGAAAAGCGAGGAGCCCAGAAGCAGGCTACAAAAAATTGCCAGCCTACTTGTGTGTGTGTGTGTATATGTGTGTGTGTTTTGTGCACTGGCAAAAGGCGTAACGGGGAATATCGCTTTCCCAACCCAGCTATTTTGCCTCTCTTTCCTCCCGACAGTTTCCACTGACATTGAGATTGTCAATGTCTGGCGGAGCGTATAACGTTTTCCCAGTCTCGTGTCTGCTGTCTGATAAATTCTGCAGGCTGCCTCCATCATCTGTCCGATTATCTCCACCAGATTTCGCCTTGTACATGCAATTGATTAATGCCATGCACAAATTGACAAGCGAACAGAAACAGTTGCATTCTACCAGGCTCAAACTAATGTAATTTATCGGAGTACCCACAAGCAATGGAGAAATGCCAGCAGTGGCGGATCTTACACTAGAGTATTTTAAATCCTTTCCATCAAAATATATTATTTAACAAACTATATAGAAAAAAGATAGCGTAGCATAAATGTTTCACATTTTACCTATTTCCACGTCTCATAAAATGTTTCCAACAATTATTAAACTCTGTCTTTAATGCACAATTTTAGCGACGAAAAGTTTTTTAATTACTGATAATCTTGTTTTTAATTACTGAAACTTTCCGGAAAAGTTAAATGGATCCGCTCCTGGATGCATTTATCCATCCACCCGTGGACACATACATCGCCTGAGTGTCGAGTCAGTAAGCACACGTGTGCAGCTATAACATTTGCATATACACCGAGTATATGGGCACTCTGCTTTATATTAGCTTGACTTGTTTGCATTTCCCTGACTTTGAAAATAAATATTTATAATATTTTGATAAGTTTGGCCAACAAGAGTTGCCTGAACTTTATATAATAATAAATATTCCAGAGAAATATTAAAGTTTAAAAATATTTCTGAAACATATATTTGCGTATAGAAATATTTCCTTGTTGAGACTGCACTTCAGTAGTTCAGCTAGCTTTTTCTGCAACTGAAGCTCTACAATTTTCAAGTGCATTTGATATACTTGTCGTGCAATACTTGTCCCGACTTTGCAACAACCATCTGGTCCTGAGAATTGCCTAACAAGATGTCGTAGGTTTTCTTTGCCAACAGTGTGAGAATATTGCGGATGTAGAGAACGCTCCCCATTCTCCCTACATAAATGTATGCATGCTTGTTTATGTGTCAAAACACCGTAAACAAGGTTACAATTTTCTTAAAACAAGGAGGGGAAAAAAGGCTAAAACAAGATGAGAGAAACGAACAAAAACAAGGTACTAAGTTAGCCTTTTATGCACTGCGCGGTTGTATAAACAAAGTGGAAACAAAAATTAGGGGCGGAAGGTTTTTGTTTTGTATATTGTTTGACTGCACTTTCGCATCGTTTTTCAGCGTTTACTTAAGACGCCTTATTGCACTTTTCACAAGTTTAAAGGCGCAGAAAAGTTCACAAGCTAAGAAATCCAACGAAAGTCAGATTCGGAGTGAAAGCACTCGGGGATAAATGTTCGGGAGACAGGAAGTGATTACATCTCGGGAGATTTGCAGAATTTCCAGACTTCAAGGGGGTCTGACAACTTCTGACAGACGCTCATGATTCGCTAAACACTGAGGATTTAAGCACTTGGGTAATATAAAATGCGGAAATGGTGCGAGAAGTTTTGCAACATTTGTCCCAATTTCAAATTTCGCATTTCCATTTCGTTGCATCTGCAATATGCTCTTTGAAATGTTTCCTCTGATCTGCTTTGAATGGCTTTAAAAAAAGGAAAAAAGAATTCCTAGAGGAAAATTAATTAAAAACTGAATGCAGAAAGCGGGGAAATTATAAATAGCAAAGCATATTTATATAACTACTATTAGTTGAGCATAAGTTTCTCTCAATTAAACATTTTTTTAAAAGGACGTTTATCTTAAAGTGTCCCCTTTTTTGTTGGTGTAAAATGTTGATATTGATGGACAGACTGGGAAAACAAATCAGTGTTGTCAGTGAAAATATGCAGTAAAAAGGGTTGTGGGTGGCAAAGATGTCTGTCAATCGTTCACTGCTCACGTTGCAAGTGCATTAGAGGCTCCTTCTGCTTCTTACCACTTACAACTGCAAATTGGCCCAAATGCATTGTTGCCTTGTTTCTTCGCATTCACATTGGACTTCCTCTCGAAACACGTCTTCAAATAAAATATTCCGCTGGAGGATTTAATTTTATAGTGCCAGAGGGCAGAGAGGGGATCTGGGGGTCAGTCCTTGCCCGAGTATGAAGCTTTCTAGTTCAAAGGATCATCTGGGGTGCGCAAGTGTAATTCGTATCAATTTATGCAGGACGTGATGCTGCCTCTGATGCGGGATAAATTGGCAGGAACGTTCCTTTTTAGGGAGAGCCAAACCAAAACATTATAGAAGGGATAGAAACTGATGGCGGTTAGGAGAAAAAGTTTTCCCCGGGCGTAATTTATTTTTACTAGAAACTAATTCCATTAGAAAACAATTTTCTATTACGAGCACTCAAGGTAGGAAACTTGTTGGTAATGAGTTGAGAACTATATCAGAGGAACATATTAAAAGTCATCCTCTACTTTAAATTACGCAAGCCCGAGTAAAAATCCTATTACTTCATCTATCCAGCCATTGAACTCTTAGAACTTTTATTTTCCAGTTCCGCTCAAATCCCATTCGAAATATTGCCGAAAAAAGCATCTCCAGTCACACTTGACTTATTTCATTACACATAAGCCAAAAAAAAAAACCATACGCTCGCCGAAAATCATGTTTATAAATAAAAATTCTTTTGTGGCCGCTGCACTCCGGCAATGAAAAGGGCTCGAAAAGAGCAAAAATTATTTCATTGGTTACGCTGGCTGGGCAGAAAGCTGGATAAGTGGGAAAGATCGTGGGGTTTGTGGGGGAATCAAAACAAAAGGCGACAAAACAGGAAGCTCATTCCCGGCAGAAAACCCCAATCAAAAGCCCGAGCCATGCGTGCATGGCAACCAATTCGACCGCGCTGGAAAATGAAATGAAATGAAAAGGGGAAAACTCTGCTGGCGACACAAACTCGCCTGTACGCGTAACCAGCGGCCACATGTCACAACATTAAAAAGTCATTTTGAGTTGTCCAAAACCAGAGAAAGGGACGGCGAGTGAGTGAGTGAGTGGGAGAGCGATTCGGACCATTTGGGAGCAGTTTCTTGTGCCCGAGTCCACGGTATTTGCATCAATTTGACGGCTGCTCTGCGCTTCACTGCCTCAGTGCGTCCCTTCCTCCCTCTTTTCACTCCCTCAATTGCTTACTCAAATATCACACTAAGAAAAATTTTACATTTGTTAAAAAAAATGTATTCGGAAAAATGGAATATGAAATGGAATTAATTTAGAAAAACAAGATATGGAATAAAATTTTCTAAATACTTTTAATTAGAGTTTTATGTTTTTAGGTTTGAGTCGCAAGAGGTTCTGTTTGGGTAATTGAAGTATTTGATAACTAAATTTGATTTTAAATAAATATATGAGTTTTTTTTTTATTAAGAAAGAAATCATAAATTTATGGCAGTACCTAGAGTGTTGCAACTAGACTCTTTTGCTGCTTTATGATGAGCAATGCTCTGGCATCCGCTCGAATTACTTGGTAACAAGTGAGCAACGCATTTCCGCCGGCTTTGTTGTTGTGCGGTGAGCGTTGATGTTGTAGTTGTTGTTGTTGTTGTTGTGCAGATTCGAACCCCGAATTCCAAACTCAAACTAGGTGACGCCGCTCTGTCCGATGACGAAATATGTGCTGTGGATGTGGAATACCTGCCAAAAGCAGCGGCAGCAAAGTCAAAAGTTCAACAACAAGAGAGAGTTGGGAGAGGAAGAGGGTTCAGTGTTCAGTACTTGTGGCTCCACAGTTCACCCGAGTTCATTTGCCGGGGCTCGAAAGCCAGAGCCAGAGCCAGAGCCCATCAGTCGACCCCTTGCCATTGGGAACTTTTTGTTTTGCATTATTCACGAGCATTGCCACATGGTAGCTCACCACAGTGGTTCGAGTGTGGGTTTCCCGGGGAGGCGGCCAAAACTTTTGCGAAAATTTAGGAGAAGCAACTTTCGCTGAACAATAATACTTGCGGATGTTTTGAGAAATTTCTGCGTGGAATAATATACTGTGCTTAGAGTTGAAATTAATAGAAAAGTTTAGTATGAGTTGGCTAGTTGAGTAAAATAAATAAAATCCCAAAAACTCAACCATTTTTATTCTACGGGTGGAATTAAATTTGTTTCATATTTTGTTTGCTATTGAAAAAACCAGAAAGCCCACTGTATAATGGCCTTAACAGCTTATGCCACCGAGTTAAACAACACAACAGAGGCAGACCCAGCTCATTTGTCATTCAAGGGGCATCCTCTCAAGAGGCAGCTGGAAAAAGGGTCCGAGAAAGAAAGGTTTTCCACGGCCATTTACCTCATGCCGCAGTTCCCTCGTGAGGATTTTAAATTTCTATTTGATAATGCGACAATCGTAATTTTCGGGGCCAACAGCTTGATTCGATAATGAGAGCAAAGTTCGCTACTGCTTCCTAATTTAATTGGTCAACAAATTACTTTTCACTTTGCAACTGCGATTAAAGAAGGAAATTTAATTAACTGGATGAGACGCACCTAAGCTGGTCATAAAAGCCGACGTAAGTGGCTAAAAGTTTGAAACCCGAGACTCGAAATTGCTCCATTGTTGCTGCGGGCGAACAATAACAGGGGAATATAAAAGACTGGGGGCGTGGCAGCGTGCCACTGAAAAAGGTTAACAAAATAATAACAAACAAATGAGCCAGTGTTCGAGGGACGTCGGCAGCGCAGTTGCTGCGCAGTCGCCACCTGCCTCAAAAGCAGCGGCGCATGCGCTCATTATTTTTCAGCTTTTCAGTCGACGGCGAGACGTAAAAGCGGCAACAACCGAGAAAACCGGTGGAAAGCAGCTGGTGGCTGTAAATTATATACCATCAAAAGTAACAGAAAAAAAAATCACGCGCGCGTTTTTCTACTCTTTTTTTGTTCATTGCTTTTTGGCCATTTCATGGACAATAAACTCATTTTGCATTAACCACAAAAATCAACAAACTGTGCAAAGGCGGTCGCCATCAATAGAAAGCATTCAAGTGGGTTAAAATGGGATGTGGCAAAAAGCGAAGAAGATGAATGTTTATTTGCTCAGTGAAGTTGTGACCCACAAAACCCCAAGTAACACAAACACTGTCTGTTCGAGTCAATATTTGCGCTGAATGGAGGACAATCTCATCATTAGCATTTGCACACAGCCTCCAGGAATCAATGCATGGTCCATTAATCTGGGAGCATTAATGATTTAAGGAATTCATTTGTCATTTGGGTAAGACGCTCGAAATGCGATTGGGGAAATTAACCATTAATTGGAGTAAATCTTACGATAAACCTGGGGATTAAATCAGCAATGTGTTAGGCATTTGTCACAGAGGAAACAATTTGTGGATGTTATGGGCTTAACTTTGAGATGGGAATCTGAATGAATCTCGATAAATAAATCATACACATTTTGTTATCTATGTAAATGAGTAAATTGAATTAAATAATCAGCAGATTGCAGTGATTTGCATTATTTACAATTTGCAGATAATTTATAGCTTCGATTAAATTCAAGTAAATAAATTGGAATGACCAGCAAAAACCTTTGAATTATCATACTGTTTAGAAACCATTAATTCGGGGAATATTTTGCCCGCCGGCCATGTTTCCACTTTAGATGATTGAGTGTCCTGAGACAAATGGTCGAACTTATTTGTCCACTCACCGACAGGGCCAGCAGCCAAGTTTTCGCTTAATTTATGACCCAAGCCGCATCGAAAGAGGAGTTCGCGTGCAAAGGCTGAAATGCAATTTGCGGGCAACCGCAGCTATGGCAGCAGAAAATTGATTTAGCATTTATTTCCAACTCCCCTGACCTGCAGCGATTGAGGCAACGATGATGTTGCGGCAAGCGAAAATTTCGGAAAATGTCATTTGAAATGTCGCCGGCGGCGGAGCCCATCTTCTAGTAACTATTTCGACAGGGTTTTTTTTTTCTTTATTTTTTGGGTACAATCGCAATGGATGGGCAGATTCAGATCGAGTCTTGAACAATACGCTCTGATTATTCCAGTTCTTTTATTTATATTAATTCTATTTTGCACAATTGAAAACCTATTGTCTGGCCGTATGGGAATGCCGATTGCAAATGATTTTATGTATTTATTTTTGCTAGTTTATGCTCCGCTGACTGTATTCGGTTGCTTTTCATGTAAATCGCTGTTCGGCGGTTTGCCGGTTTGCTTATTTTTCACCCAATAGATATCTGTGTTAATTAATTTGGCGCTGTCATGCGAGTTTTTGCCATTTCCATTTTGGCACGAATATGCCTATTGCACTGCAATTTCTTTTTTGTTGTGGAATAATTTAATTAGCTACTTTTAAATTTATTGAAAGGTCCCAACATCTTTGTTGGAAATATCAAATTGCCAGTTTCAAAGTAAGTGTATTTTTTTGAGCTGTGCTAAATAATTTGTGGAGTTTTAATTAGCTTTTTTCTCATTATTTATTTAAACCAGTTAATGGTTTTTTGTTTGTTTTTATTACAACCAATAGCGCGTTAAAACTCGCTTGCTAATCGCACGCAAATCGCGTTTGACTTTTTCCCTGAGCTCCAAAAAAACGAGAAATTTAACGCGGCGCGTGTCACAATAAAATCAAGTTTAAAACGAAACAAAAATCGAACACGTGACTGGAAAACCAAAGTGAATTTGAAATTTGTACTTGTGCGAAAACAGAGAAACAGAATGTTTATAAACGCCGCTGTCAGTCATAAAATGGCATTAAAAGCAATTAGCAAGTTGCTTTATATTCTGCGCCGAACAAACATATTGCCCGGGGTAATTAAAATCCGAGGCTCTGGAGTCTCAACAATTGGAAGGAAGCGAAAGCGGAAAAAAAGGCACTCGGAGCGTCTAAAATAAAAGCAAAAGCAGTGAGATATTATCTTTTGAAACAATTCTGTTAGGGAACACGCAACTAAGCAATTTGCAGGCATACCACACACAGTGTTGACATCCGCCTAATTAACTTTTAAGTGAAAAGCACACAAAAATGTGCTACATCTTAATAGCTGAAACCATAGTGAAAAAGAGCATTCACATTAACCTTAGCCTCCAACGAATGAGTGAGCCAGTGTGTGTGAGCCCACAAATGTAGGCTGGCCAAAAACGTAATGGAAGCAGGACAAATGAGGCCAGGCCAATGCTAAGCAGTTGGCAGGAGAGCGAGCGTTCAGCACTTTCTGGCTCTTTATTTTTAGTTTTTTTTTTTTTATGTCAGCTGCTTGGTCCATAAAGTGAGGCGCCGCTGCGAAATGTTTTGCGAGGACAAGGACAAACGTCAGGAGAGTTGAGACGGTCGAACTGCAGTCGCCAGGATGGCGGCCTGAATCCCCGCACAGTTAAACATTAGTTGGCAACATTTGCAATTGTAATGTCTCGCATCTGAAATGCAACCATCCGGTAAATGTGTTGAGCTGGCAGCACATCCTTCTCCTCCACCTTGCCAAAGGATGCACAGGAGCAATGAGCAGTCGTCGAGACAGCTGCAATTAACACGGAAACTATTGCAGCACGGTCACGGGGAAATGGAAATGGAAAATTGCCCCCACAAGCTCTGAACTTTGGCCAAAAGGATTGGAAAGCATTTTGCTGGATGCAAATTAGAAGGAGATTGGCGAAAAACTTGTTCAAGGCTAGGTCACCAAAAGGATTATCACAGCTAGTAATTTTAATGGTATGCCAGCCATTATAACATTTTTACTTCAGTTTATAACTTTGTGGGATGGTAAAATTGTTATTGAGTTCGCTGGCGCTTGCATAAAATTGCTAAACTTTTACCATATTTTTCGTTTTACAAACATTTCTTGGGCAAGTTTAGTAAAGCAATTAAAATTGAATTATATGAAAGTTTTTCAGTAAATTTAGATTTAATTTCCGTATTTAAAATTTGGATACTAAATTACCCATAAAAATATTTACTTGAATTTTTCTGTTGAATTTTTATATTTATCTTGAGTAACAGTATAAAAAGTTTAGTCAAGAATCTGCATATAATGCGGTAGCAATAACTCAAGACTACCCAGAATTCCCCGAACCGACCGTTGCTGAACTTACAGCAACCATTTTCGCAATCAATCTGCCAATCCGTGGCAGACGTTTTCCATTTACAAATGGCGAATAGCTTTTCTGGCTTTTCACCCGGTGAAATACCAAAAGTCACAACTGGCGCGGTTTTCACGCTTCATTTGGTGGCTCAGGTAAAAAAGCTGCTGGCTAAGCAATTTTCCCCCAATCAGTCAAGAGTGTAGCCCACCCACCCACACGTCGATTGTGGCGGCGAAAGGTAGTAAGCAAATAGTCCTTTGGCTTAAACGCTTCGAAGAGCAAACTTTCCGTTCTCGTTGCCTCGTAAAATTGTTTGACTTTTATAGGAGAGTCTGCGAATCGTCTGCGTTGAAGTTGCGCTCGAATGAATGATTGCAATGGCAGCCGGCGGTAGAAAACTAATGTTTACGATCCCTGAATCACCATTGCGCCTTAATTTTACTATCGGACAAGTGGCAATGGCTCTTTATGAGGCAATTCCTTATATGTCCCAAGCATCTTTTAGTTCGGAATGATTTGTGGCATAAGAACATGGCTGCTCTTAAGGCATTTTCATGGAGAACAATAAGAATTTGGAAAATATGCTGGCTTATTTGCAAATGACAGCCATAAATTTTCCCAGCTTGTGGTTCTTAAACATATTTGCTCAATTTTCATTAAACAATTTGTGGTTAAAAGAAAAATATTTCGTCTTCATACAGACAGTATAATTTAAAGTATTCATATTCAACCAATTTGTTCAAATATTTAATGAAATTAATAAGTCGAAATCTAATTTAGGATACCATAATTAAATCACTTTATAAATGGTATATTGAAAATAAGTATAATAAATAAAGTCTTAATTGTTGTGCTTATATCTTAGAATCTACATTAAACGTTAACTTTTATTTTGGTGTAATTATATCTAACAAGCAAGAATTCCTTTTCTCATAACAAATCATATTTGTATTTCCATTAAATATAATCTATGGCTTTTTGCAAATTGGTGTCCTTGACTTGAACCATTTATCCTTCTTAGGGGCAAGGAAAGCTACAGCTACCAGCACAACTACGTGGATCGGGTGCGTTTAGAGGACACCACTGGCGGGCACCAACACCACAGCAGCCACCAGCAAACCACCCATGACCCGAGGTGTCCCCAGTTGAGAGCCGCTGGCTGGAGGCACACGCACAAATCGGTTTCCCATCTCGACTTGGCCACCAGCTGTCATGAAGCAGCCGGAACTGGCTTAGGTCGCCACTCGCAGCCGCTGCACCACCACAGCCAGGCGGGTCAGAACCAGCCGGGGCACCACCATCTGCACCACTCGCATTCGCACTCGCACCACCAGCACACACACGCCCAGCCCCACTGGACGCAGTGCCGGGTGGGCGTGGCCGGAAGCGGAAACGGGAACGGGCAGCTGCGGAACGCGCGATCGCTGGACTACACGCAACTCGAGCGGGAGGAGAACGCCTTGGACATCGCCGAGTTCTATTGGCGGTTCGATGCGGAAGCTCCGATCGACCAAGCCGATAGCTACGCGGGTGAGTGACGGCCTTCGGGTGGATTGGAACCACTCTTCCATATCGATTCTAGAAATTATTGGACTTGGAAACGATATCATAGAGATATCAGTTCGATGGTCCGTTAAAAAACTTAATAACTTCCCAACTGTCAAGACAATAAGAATTTGATATTGTTATCTAAATTACCGCTGATATCTTATTGTTTCATTATATCTCAATACATGTTAAATCTCATTATTTATATATTTGAATCTTTAAACTCCAAATTTAATTTTTAAAGTAGTAAAGAAATATTTATTGAAACTGTAGAACACACATTTCTCTAATAAATATCTATTAAATATTCTTTTTTGTAGTACTTCCAATAAGCGGAAAATTCGAGCCTTCGGCAGTAACTAAAACTGGATCGGGATCTGGAGAAGCAACTACCACCAGCACAACCACCGCATCCGGGAAATCAAATGATGGTGCCACAACCACCACAAATTCTGCAGTTGCAACCGCCCTTTTGGACATTTTGGGCAGCGAGTCGTGCAGCTTGAGGAGATCGCGCAGTTTGGCCGTAATACGTGAGGAGACATTTAGCGACCTGCAAATTGGATCGGCAAACAGCAGTCGTCGCCGATCGCAGCTAATACCGCGTGCCCGGCTCGTTAATCGCGGATTTTTCCGTGAATCGCCACGGTAAGTGAATCATTAACACGAAACTACACAAAAAAAACTGGATTTAAATTAGAGAGATTTTTTTGTTAATCTCAAGCAACTAAAAACAACTTAAAGATGGATTTAAAAATTGTAAAGCCTAGAAAAAGTTGTAATTCTTTTTATTCTTACCTACTTGCTATATTTTGTTTAAATTTAAGGCATTACTTTTTCTATAGTAAACTTTTCACTTTAATGCAAATTACAGTTTTTTCTTAAAGAGCTTTTTAAAGAGTTTCCGTTCTGCGTCTTAAACGAGTAACTTAAAGGTTTGCTTAGGTGGAGCAGCGACAAGCTAAAATTATCTTTACTTTGCTCTCGAGTGTTTAAGGCCCGGCCGTCACATCACGCATACGCCGCGTAAACGCCGGCTGATTTGAGCTGGGTTCTGGCCGTGTCAGCTAGTCAGTCGTTGAGCGACACTCGCCGCAAACTCAACAGGTCTCGGCACAATTTTCAGTTAAAACAATTCGCGAGCCTCTGGCCAAATTGTTGCGGTCGGTTTACTGTCGCTGTTTCGTTTATTTTTCGTTTGTGCTGGTGGTGGTTTCGGTGGTTTGTGTTGTGCTTTTTTTTGACTGCGCCGCCGGTCAGGGTCAAAAATCCGAGGTCACAGTTGCATTAAGCGAAAATAGTCAATGTGCCGGTGGCTGCGGTTTTTGATTAAACCTTACCATGATTGGCGACAACTGCAAAGTCCAAACTATCGAACGATTAAGCTCGTTACATAAGAATCGCTTTTACGAGCAGTGCAAAACTTTAGAGCTCGAGTGTTTTTCTTTCGTAATTTGCTCGATTTTTCCAGTAAACTTGTGTAATTAAAATTGCAAAAGTTGTTGTTTAGTGTCAATTGTTTGGACAGCTGCATGTTCGAGTCGTATGAGTCTGGGGGATTGTGACAGGGAGCTGTAAAAGCTTTTAGCTACGCCCCAGTCATTCTGCCATTAGCACACACGTTATCCTGCGCATCCTGGCGATGACAGCTGCAGCCGTTCGCCGTTGCCATTGCTCTTAGGATCGCATCCTTCCTCCTCTGTCGACGGTTTTTATTTAATTTGCCGCAAATCGTCGCGTCAAGTGGCTGGGTAAACTATCAACCTCCCCGCTCGAGTGCAACGTGCAACTGAAATGCATCCGGACCAAAGTCCCACCCAGCTCAACATTGAAGAGGGATAATGGAGGCTTTTAGTCTGAGTGAAATATAATCCCGATTCAGATCGATAACAATAATATCATTAATGAAATAGAAACGCTATTCGAACTTAATTAAGGTTATTAAGAGCACAGCAATTATAAAATGCATTAGCACTGATTAATGGGTATTAGAATTCTAAAGTTCAAAGTTGAGCTATGCTTTCCTCTCTTTATCAAAATTAAATGCACTTTTCCTGGAGGAAGCTTAAGTTTCCTGTAACTAAAATCGGAAAACAATTAGACAAGCCATTTAAACGGCTTTCACTTTACAATAGCAACACTTTGTATAGGCCCATACCTTCGTCACCGATTTGACACATTTAATTTCATGTTTGCTCCCCCAACTCTATCAATCACCTGTCGCTGTTTTCTTTTTCTGCTGCAGTTGGCTGCCCATTTGAATGACAAACAAGAACCCACTTTTGACTGCCTGACATTCTCAGTTCGGTTACTGTTTGTTTATCTGATTTGTGTGGATTGATTGATTGAGACATCACATGACCGAGACTTTTGCATTTGAGGGTCTTTGAACGAGGCCAACAAAGTAGGGAGATGTGCAGGCAGGCAGGCAGGCAGTCATCATTCCATTAGATGTAATTTACTTATGATAGGCCGAATGCAAAACAATAGCGTCATTAACGAGCCCATCCTCCCGTTTCGATTCTCCCACCCGCAGATTGAACGGCAAGCCGAGTCTCGCGACCTTGGTGGGTGAGCAGCCAGCGGATCAGCCGGCGGATGACACCCAGAGCCAGAGAAGCAACTCGGGCACTTGCGATTCGCATCAGCAGCAGCAACAACAGCTCCAGCAGCAACACCAGCAACATCAACATCAGCAACAACAACCGCAGCAGCAACATCAGCGGCTTAACCGAGAATCGCGTGACTTTGATGTCTACTACGATAATCTGAAACGCTTGGACGCCTTGGCTTTGGGACTCGGTGAGCAATTGCATCCTTGGCACAACGACAAGAGCGATTTGGAGAGCCTCAACTCGGATTATTTCAAGAACTCCCTGCACCAGAATCACCTGGAACAGCAGCAACCTTCTTCTTTGGAATTCGACGCCCTTGAACAAGTGGCAACTGATTTGCTCAAAGAGAGGCCAAGGATTTATCAATCCAGGAGGCAGCAGCAGCGCAGAAATCTGCACCACTCGAACTGCTTGCAACGCCACTTGGACACGGGAGGGGAATCCTGTCCGGAACACAGTCAGAGCAGTGTTTTCCCGGAGACCACCACAAGTAATTCGGATGACCAAACGGACAGTCCTTCGCTGTCGGAACAGGAATACGATTTAACACACATCGAGGAGATCTACCAGCAGGGCAACGAAGGGGAGGAGAGCTACGAATTAATTAGTCTTACCACCACAACAAGGACACGTTTCGAGAGCAGCGAGGAGGGTGAAGGCGAGGAAAACCAGGCGGAGGAGGAGGTTGTGGAGAGTCTAACCACGCCCACGGAACCACAGACCAGCGATAGTGATAGCACTTTAAGGCAAAACCACAACGAGCAGCTGGACAAGTTGATAGCCTACGATTCGGTGTACCTCTCCTCTGAAGACAGTTCGGATTGCACTTTAATTGGCGAGAGCTGCGAATCCTTCGAGCAGAGAACTTTCACTAGTTGCGGGGAAAGCGGTGAGTTGGAAACACGCAGCTTGCTCCACATTTCCATTGAGGATACGGTCTACGAACCTCAAGCTAAGCAGCACAAAAAAGGCGTAAATCACGAAGATCAACCTGCCTCTTTGTTAACCACCACAGCGAAAGTTGAGGCGCAGATCTTTACGCAGGTTCTGAAGGTAGAGCATACACCCAAGCCCAAGATCCTAGCAGTGGTGGAGAAACGCAAGTTGAAACAGGAGGAAGTTAAGCAGCAACCGCCGGAACTGAAGCGACAGGCCACCGACTCCTTTGTAGTCACCGCCGCCAGCAAATCCAATCTCACTGCAAATCAATACCATAGCCTGCCGGATGTTAATATCGGAGTGAGCCTGAAGGTTTGCGAGAACATAGACAAGGAGCTCAGGTCATCCTACAACCAGCGAAAGCAGCAGCAGCGCAAGGAGGCCAAAAGGGAGCAGCAGGTGACCCGGGCGGAGACCTACGATTCCATCAGACGCTTCGGCAGGGCCCATCAGAAGGCCAGGCAAAAGGAGTACCAGGAAAGGGAGAGGGAACGCGAACGGGAAGCATCAGCCGCTCTGCAGGAAAAGGATAAGGAAAGGGAAAAGCCAAGGATAAACAAGGAATATCCCGCGCAGGAGCGGAAAATTGAAGTGAAAGAATCGTCAAAGGTTCAAGAGGTAATCAAGAAAAAGGAGGAACTTCCAAAGGAAAAGGCAGAGGAGGAAGAGGAACCACTGCCTCCACCACCACCGCCGCCACCTTTGACAGAGGAACCCCAACCAGAGAGCAACCCAGCGGAAGTGGAGGAGGTGGAAGACGACCTATCTGAATCCATTTCACAGCCGGAACAACCGAAAGAAGCGCCCGTCATTGAGGTGGCCAATTTCAGCAGGCTAATCGAGCGACGTGCCCAGGAAATCCGTGAACGACAGGAGCAAATTAAGCCATCCTTTCAAATCATTGTCACCGACGCTCAGAACAATATCATCCAGAAGGAGGCCATTGCGGATAGCAAGGAAATTAGACAGAGAACAAACCCGAAACCGAACACGAACACGAAACCGAAAACAAACTCAAACTCAAACTCGTCTTGTAATCCCATTCAACGCCCACTGCGTCGCTCGGTGAGTTCGTCGAGTGGCAAACCGCTGGAACATCGCATCCTCAGCACCGGTGCTCCGATTTACAAGGCTCGACCCGTCAAGGTTCTGCCCTCCTCGAGCAGCGATTCGAGCTTCTGCCGGGGCAAAATGTCGCGACCCCAAATCCTGCATGTCGTCGATGGAAGGGCAGGAGTTGCCGGTGGCGCAGGTGGAGCAGGTGGTGGCAGCCTGCAAAGGAGGAGCAGTGCCAGGAGCATAGCGAGCACAATTAGTTCGGCAGGAGGCGAGGCGGCTAATGAATACCTGCAAAAAGTGGATGCAGTCAGGTGCTACTGGAACAAGCTGGCGGGAAATGAACCAGAAACACCGAAAACAGAACAACAGCCGACAAAGGAAAGCCAGCCAGGCTTGAACTTCCAGTTGGGTGGAGAGACCACAACACAATGCACCGATAAATCCCCAGTTGGCAGTGATTTCTGCAGCATGATGCCGCATCCATCTATAGAAATTGTGGAGCTCGGTGAGGGTGCTCAAAAGGCCACGATAGTAAAGGCTGCTGCGGAGCAGGACGAGGATCCAGACGAGGATCAGGATCAGTTCGATCACATTCGGTACAAGGTACTCAAATCTCAGCAACTGATTCGCAACAATTTCCTCTCCACGAGAAACAAAAAGGAGGCGCAGTTCGATGGTTTAATTCAGTACCTGCAGGAGTATAGTTTCCAGGAACTGCTGAGCAACAACAATGTGGTTATAGTAGAACCTGTGAGGACAAAGATTGAGCGGCCTCTGCAAGTGGGGATTAGTAGTGGTTCTAGCACTACGACTGTTCCACCTCCGAAACCCCCTAGGGTGGCAAATGCCTCGGGTTCCCAGCCACGGAAACTAAGGAACCGACCAACTGGAGGAGCTGCTGCCAAAAGACACTTCTTCTACCAACCTGTCAGGGTGAATAGAGAACTCTACGAAGATGAGCTACCAGATCCCGATACAGTCCGCAATGTTCGTCGTTTCTTCGAGCAGAATGTCATGCCAACTCCTGGTCAGGGATTACTAGTGCAGTCCCAGCAGAAGTTCGGTGGCTCCGCCTGTCAGTTGAGTCCGAAATCCCGGAGAGCCAGAGGCTATCGATACCTGACCATTGATACCAGCTTTGGAGGAGCCGGAGAAGAGCAGCCCAAGGGGATGGAACTTTTGGAGGAGAACAAGGCCAAGCACTGGGACAATGCCAGCCTGTCGAGTGGCATTTCCAGTGGTGATTTGAGTTCACCCTGCGGGGAGTATCTTCACCAGGAATCACCGGTAATAGCCTGCAAGGATGTCCATGTCCAGGATGTCGTTCGGAGGCACAATAGCAATGCTGCCAATGCCAAGGCTCGAGCGAAAATAGCCAGCCGACGCACCTGGTGCATGGGAACAGGCCCTGGCGGAGCTGGTGCCAATGAATCCCTTTATCGGCAAATTTATGAAAACAATTTGGGACATTCCGAGCAGCAGGAGAATGGGGAGCATCTGGAGGAAGAGGACGACGAACAGGATGACCAGTACGAGGACGATGTGGACCAGGATATGTGCGAAAACTATTACGTCAGCAATGTGAGTACACCGCAAAAACATTCCATTTTGTTCAATACTTTGTATTCGAATCTTATCAAGTACTTCAGATAGTCCCATTAAATGCAAGATAATTTGTCTCTCAACGATTAAACGTAATCTTATAATTGTCTTTTAAGAAGTTTTGATTATCTTATCAAACAAAAACATGTTAATTAGCGAAAAAATTAATTTTTTTTGGTTGCCAGTTTGAACTTTGATACAACAACTAAATTAATTAAAATATGCAACGAAAGTTTCTTTATATTAAGTTGTAAAAAAGAATTCACCGTTGATGGAGGAATTTCATTAAGCTTGGTTGCGTAAGCTTATACTTTTTATATCTGTATAGCCTTCTGGGCGAGGCCCGTTTGCGTGTGGCTTTATGGACCATTAGCCTTTGATGGGAGGCCGTCGACTAATCTTTTCCGTTTCTCTGCAGGACGTGCTGGCCAAGATAAGGGAATGCGGCTCAACTGTCACCTACTACGGAGGACGGGTGCTGGACAAGACCGCAGCCAGCAGCACAGCACCGCCCACAAAAGCCACTCAGCCAATCACGGGAAGCGGAACCCGCTCTCGAATCCGTCAAATAGAGTCCTGCAATGTATGCCTGCCGAGCGAGAGATGCGAACATCGATTGCAAACTAAGCAGACGACAGCAGAACAGCAGCAGGACTCGTACCAAGGTGGGTAAACAGAAATGTCCTTGTCATGTCCGAAAACCAATCTTAAATTGCCTCACACATAAAGAAAACTGGGTAACAAAACAATGATGGGTTAAAAAACAGATTAAAAACCAATAACACCAATTAAACCAATTAAAAAAGCTTTGCAATATACTTAAATAAAATTTTAAATGTTCTTATGCTCTGGAAACTTTTAGCCACTTTCTCAGATAATCCCATAATCCTTTAATCTCCGACAGAATATATTACAAACAATACTTTTTCACCACATCTACATTTTCATTACTTAATCCCACAACATTGTGAGCATAAAAACCCCTCCACGAGAGTGTTAAACCCAAATGAATATTCTTATCTTTTTGTCACTGTACAGGCATCAAATTTAAGCTGGTCAAGTCCAACAGCTGCAGCAGTCGACTGGAGTTGGCCGGAACCGGAGAAGATGAGGTCAGCGCCGACAGCGAAGTGGTTCGAAAAATGGTCCATCACTTCGAGGCGAATCGAACAGCGGCGGGCAATGATGCCCAACTGACCATCAACAGTCAGAGTCAGATAACGTCGGCGAAGGAGTTGGAGGAGGTCCCGCGACGCCAAGTGACAGTAAATAATCACATCAATGTGCTTGGGGACGTGGTGGCCCAGGAGCTCGGAAGGGCTGAAAACTTTAATGGGCAGCCGGAGAATGGTTATGGCACAGAGATGGTGGTGCCCACATACGAAAGTCAGGCCATGAACATTCGCCTCGATGTGACCGAGAATAAGAACAGCCTGCAAGCTGCTGCCAACAAAGTTTGTCGCAATAAAAACGTGGACTTGGCCTACACGTTGGTTAAGCCAACGACAAATTCTCAGAAGGGCAAGCCCATCGAAGCTCCGCGCCAGAAAATTGGAAAACAGCAGCGTGAAGTGGAGGAAAATGGGGAAAATGGCAAAAATGCCGTGACAAAGAGTGTCAAGCTGGCGAAGGCAGCCGCACCACAAATCATCGTGCCCGTGGATATTCACAGTCAGACGTCGATAGCTGCACCCGCTTCCATTCCCGAACGGCGATTGAGCAATGCCAGCAGCAGTAACTCGGTGGTGGACAAGACCGTAGTTCGTCATTATGTGGCCAATGATAAGAGCATCTACGAGCGGCGCAAGTACGATGAGATTGAGTTCGAGGAGTTTGAGGTCTACGATCCCAGCAAGGAGCCACCACCTCAAGTCGAGGGCGGTCCCGAAAAAGTACCCACAGATGCTGAGCTTTACGACAGCTTGGACGACAAAGTGTGAACGAAACTAATGCTCAATTCATCTACAAACGACGGCAACGACGACTTCTTGGGGTTTTGGGTTAAGGAACAAATCAAAAGCGTCCACATCGGTAGCGTAATTTAGCTTTACAGGTAAAGCCAAAAGATTATACCGTTAACTATCCAAAGTATAATATATTATTTTAATTTAATCGCAACTCAACATTTGTTCACTTGTACATTATAAATTTATGCCTAAATAAATATGCAATTTATTTAACGAGCTGGGACAGGTGTCGACTAATGTTTTATTATGCATTTAATTTACAGAAAGCCTATGTTCAATCCCCCCTTTCTCTTGTATACTGAAATCATCTATTGCCTCTATTACCTTTCAGAGTGCAGATAAATGAGAGACCACAACAGCCACTAATTGGTCAAACTAATCTTTAATTAATCGATAATTTATAGACATGGGTGATTTAAAGCCAATACTTGATGGCGATAATTTGGTGTTTGGAAAGGAGAAAGGAATTTTGTCGCCTAATCAGTTACAAATTAAACAATTAGGCCAGGTCTTGTCTAATATTAGGCGATTAAGATGTATTACATCTTCTTGGAAAATCCAAATAATAAGGTTTTCTTTGTGTGGGGTGTTAATTTGATAGCAAAATTGGTTCAAGTCTTACCTTCGCCACATTTCTTTTTTGTTTTCTTCCTATTTATTAATAATTTCTTTCTTCTTTTTCTGTTTATAATTCTTTTCTTGAGCGGATTCAGTTTACCTTAGGAAAAAATTGTTTATTTAAAATGAAAATGTTGTTTCATAACATAAAACACGTACTTTTATATTTCTTCGACCTTTTCTCTTGAATGTTTTGTCGGTGGACAAAGTTTTGCACTCTTTTTGTTAAATTATCTGAGGAACCTATTTCACATGGATCTGGATTTGTGCTCTTTTCACTTCCATGAAAACTTCTTAAACCTTGAAATATTTTTATTCTGGCACTCAAACTGAAAGACTTGGTGCAATCTCCTTGCCGTAAAGAGTTTTTAGATTTGGCATCCTCTTCTCGGTAACTACCCGTATATTGATGGTATTTTGATAAAATTTCGGACACTTTTGCTTTAACTTCTGCTTGCTCATTCACATTCTGACTTGATCTGCGACCTGTGATTGCAATGATTGATAAGCTTCCCTTTCCAGAGATATAAAATCCAATCAGTTATCCGCGTTGAAGGAAAATATTTACAATATATCTGAAAGGTAAATATCTCCCCGATTTCCCAGACTCTCTTCACTTACCTCCCGTCGTCGGTTTTTTATGCTTGTCCGACTTTTTGCCGCCGCTCGTGTCGTCATCCTCCGCCGTCGAAGCAAAGCTTCTGTGCTGATGGAGCTCATGACCTGGCCGTAAATGCTGGGGAGAAAAAAAAGAGAGGAAAATATTTGCAAATTAACATTAATGACTACATTTCGCATTATTGATTGTGGCTTAAATTGCCCATGTATCTTCCTACTGGGAAAAAGTGCTCAGTATAAAGATAATGCATACGTATAAAAGTAAATTATAAGCCTATGCCAAGTTAAGTATCATGATAACATCACCGTGCGTGTGGGAGTGATTGTGAGGGTGTGTTCCTTAGAGTGAACCTTAGTTTAATTTAAAATTAAACCTTTTAAATAAAAAATTACAGAGAATTTTAAGCCAAAGTTTTTATGTATTTTTATTCTTATTGAAAACAGTGCGTATGAGTGATAATGTTAAAATATTACTTATACGAACTGTTTTCTCTGGGATTTAAAAAAAAAAATATATTTTTTTAGGACTTCAAGTTAAAAAAATCTGACAAGGAATAAAATTCAAAGATACCAAAATTCCAGGTTAAACTAAGAATGCGAAATTTAAACTAAAGTCCACTCTAGATTGCATGGTATGTCCTTCTATGTACTTAGTAACTCCCTCTTCGTTCCCCATTTTAGACTGGCATTCTTTGCATGTTTCAGCCCAACCTAATTAAGTTAAAATGCTCCCCAGTGAAATCACGTGCTCCCCATAACGAACGACGAAAACGACAACGAACCGGCACTCAAAACAAAAAAAAAAAGGGACAGAGGAGGAAATGAAAGAATGGAAAATGGGATGCGTAAATACTGTTATTGTTGGAAAACCATGGATGTGTGTGAGTTTGTGTGGCTTAAACCAGTAACCCGGTCTACGTCTGCAACATTTTTTAAACATCTTTTTTGTATTCGGTTCCTTCTGCCGGCAACATTGCGTATGAGTAATAATACACACATACACTCCAGGGAGGATACAAATGGCAAAGGAATTCGAAACCGTTTACTGTGTTATTTTATCAACAAGAAAGAATCAACAAAGACGTTTGGTAAGACTCAAAGTTGAAAATTTGTAACATTAAACTTAAAGTATGCAAGATATGTTTGCCAAAGAAAACTCAGTGAAATATTTTTAAAACCAGGCAGCCACTTCAAGGCAATGATTTGCCCAGAAATCGTAAACTGAATAAGAAATGCTTCAATTCATGAATGTTTCCAAAACAGAACCCGTGATGCATATAACAAGCTTTAGCCCGAACACTCTATCGAATATATATTCAACCTCAAATCCCATTATTTTAACTCTGAGCATGTGACATGCGAAATCCAGTCCGACAGTTTAATTTCCTTTAGTTATTCAAGCTCACAAACAGAATTTTTCCCAATCTACTGTTGAAGTTTAAAGTTGTGCTTCAAAATATCAAATAACGTTGCATAATTTTTGGTGCAACAGACAAAGTATATGTGTGTTTGTTTGCATGGGAGCACACAAACATAATTTAGTTTGCCTTTAGACCCGAGTTGGGAATTGCGGCTTTTCTCATATGGTATGCACGTGTTGTGCGCCGATTTCAACTTTTACTGATTGGATTCCACGCTCGACTCCAATCAGGCGCTTCAATAATTCAGGTCCTCTCAAACGCGTTTGAAAAATGTAGCAAAATCAAATGTTTCCCACGAGTAATTGAAATTTAAATGGCAAATAAATTCCCTAGGCACGCCCTCGCAGTCCGTAGATCAAATTTGTTAGCTGCCTTTTCCACAGAAACTTTTGTGATTTGTTGCCGCGCATTATTGATGGACCTGTGAGCCAACGACAATGCGATGGAACAATTGTGACAGTTGGCCAGGGCTCCTTTCACAGACTGCGCAAAAATTGAGTCTAGATGCCGAGAATCTGGGCAAGCTGGAGGGCAAAAATAAAAGTTATGACCCACGACGAGCTGTCAGGCAGCATCAAATGTTAAAAAGTTGCCCCGCCGGCGTTTGCAGCGAAGCAAATGAAACATTAGGCGGCACATAAATTTAACAAGCTCCGACAGCCACAGAAATTCCAGCCAAGCCAAGCCCGGGAGTATGCTCCACTTTCTGGGGGGGCAAAAGTTTTTACGATCATCCGAATAAATTGAAATCGGAGCCGAGCTCAGCTCAGCTTTTCTCGCAGATGAAAATGAAAATGTAATTTCATAAATTACACCTGCTGTTTTCCCGGGATTGGATAACCTAAAAGTTGTGACCGCAACTTGAGCGAAAGCATTCTAAGTTAATTTGTGCTGTGGGGCAGCTTTAAAAGGTGAAGGGACAGCCGTATGCAAACATCTACATCCTTGGCCTCTGTCTGCGACATGTTGCAGCAATTGTCTCTTAATGAGCCCGACAATGTGCCCACGTGCGGCGCTTAGGCCTAAGCTCAAGGAAAAACAAGTCGGCACACAGGACTCGCCAGGACAAACACAAAGCCACAACAAAAAGACTCTCAGAATAGAGGAAAAAATAAGTGGAGGGCCGGTGCCATAACAATAAACAAAGACGAGCAGAGTGGTTGTCTCTGGGTTCCTCAAATCTTTTTCGTCTGGACCTCACCGAAAAACCCTGAGAAAGTCTCTCAGCATTAGAGATAAAAATAAAATTACAGTGGTTCGTGTAATTTGCATAACATTTCCATTTCTCTCAACTTTTCCCTCCGCAATGTTCCAAATTACTTTTCATATTTTAAGGCAGGCTAAACCACTTGGGGAGCCAAATTTAAATTGAAATATAATTTTGAAGGTTAAATGTTTACCTAAAAGGAATTTTCTAAAAATCTTTAACAAATTTAAAGGTGACATGGTTATATAAATTTGACATATATGTATTCCCCTGAAATTTTTAAGCTACACATTTACATTTCTCACATTTGAAGACATCTAGGCCCCTTTAAAGAGTATTAAAACTTTGTAAAACTCCATAGCGAATATTTAAATTGATTGAAATTAAATTTTAAGAGCCCTTCGCAAAGAATTCTGCATAGAAAGTTCCTGGTTCAGGAAGTCATGCAAGCTGAAAAGTTTTAAGACCGTACAAGCCCTAGACAACAGCTCGCCTTTCAGCCCTTTGTTCTTGGCCAACAAAGTCGCGTGTCAAGTGCTGCATTCCCGGGCTTCTAGCCAAGAACAACACGCCGACGAGCATATTGTTCTTCACGCGTTTGATTGTCTCTGAATGAGCTCGTTAAGTCGAGGCAAATAGAATAATGAATCCCCATCAAAGCAATTCGTGGCGCCGGGGTAAATGCAATTGAGAATTCGCGCACATTTATTTTATATAGCTCGTAAAAAGGAATCCTCTTGCAAGGCAATTCATTATTTGGAAATTAAGGCTCCCGGCAATGAATCATAAAAAAGAACGATGGAGCAAATCACAGAGGAAATAAGATTAGTGGAAAGACATCGAAGGATCGAGGCGAGGACACGATGAAGCTTGAGGAAAAGTACCAGACTCCCGAGAGCAACTCAAGCCACATCTATAAATGTCTATAAATATATTAAACAAAAAGCGGAGAGAGAGCTAATAAATTAGACACATGTTCACAGTAGGCAGGAGAATTTTTTGTCGATTTTCTTTTTTTCATTGCCGCAGAGTGAATGGATTTGCTAGAAATGATTTTCTGCAAGTAAATATTTAGCTGAGAAAAAACAGAAAAAAATAGATAAACAAGTCGGGCCACAGACAAAAACGCAGATACAGACAACGACTATCAAAAATAATCAAACACAGAGAGAAAAAATTGAAGAGACTAGCCAGGCGGACTAAAATTAGTTTGCGCGCCATGTATATATATTGATAGATATACACACATCCTATAGATACAAAGAACACACCGCTGAAATGGAAATAGATATTTTTCGGTTCTCAGAAAAACGTTGCCACAAGTTTGTCACGGCTGTCATAATTTGCAGATAGCAAAAGAAAAAATTGGTTCTGCAGACATATGCGTAACAGTTTAACTGACATGAAGAGCCGTAAAAACACACCAAAAATATAACTTGTGGCAAAAAAAGTTTTGTCGTTTACCCAAACATTGCTTGAATGCCATTTCTTCTGAACTTTGCTCTCTAACTCTCCCCTAAGAGTTGGCCAAAAGTGAGTTTTATATGCCCATTCGTAAGCGTTTTACTTCAGTTTAAATGCATGTTCTGGGAATTGTCTGGGCTTTCTAGTAAAATTCATTTAAATTGCGTATACGTAATATTGCGAGTGGCCTTTGGGTTTGTTTGCTTATTCAGCCAATTCTGTTAATGGAAATTCTCCGGAAGAAAATAAATGAATTGGATTTCATTCACTGGTTCAATTACAAGTAAGTTAGCTAAGTGTTGTAAGTAGAACAAAAAATACACGTCACTCACTCGACGTTAATTAATAACACGAACGGTAATACGAAACTCCAGTTAATTAAGCTTTAATTGTAATTGGAAAAGGTAATAAGGGGGAGTGGGAAAATCCTTTAGGGATTACACAGTCACACATTTACACACTCGCCTCGTCGTTACTTTTGTACGCCCGCAAGCTGGCCAAGCGAATTTCAATTACACACATTCCATATTCATAGAGGCTGTGGCCTGCCCTCAAGTGATGGACTGCCATGAAGTAAATAATGCACATGAAAAGCGATGTACATAGCCCGATATGGGAAAGAAAAGTGGTAAAAGCTGTAACAAATTGAGCCACTAAAAGCTCAGGTTATTCAATACAAAGCTTAACCAAAAAATAGGAAGCCATTGCCTGAGAAACCATAAACCTGTGGGTTGAGCACATAACCACATCCAGGAATCAGGAATGGGAGGATACCAGAGCCAACATAAAAACCAACTCAGTAATTGCATTACTCACTCAAAATAATGGCCCATTAACCCTCTGGTCAATGTATACGAAATGGGAGCTGCTTGGCTTTAATTAGTGGCCACCATATTCACTTCAACCTCGTCAAACTTAACTAGAGATGAAGCTGCCCGAAAAAAGTGCACAAAGCACACACGTTTTTCTTGCAAAAAAATAATATTTTCTTGTTTAAAAAGTTTTTTTATCAGCCTGTGATCCAAG